AGGGTGAAGTGAATGCTCCGAGTCAGACAAAATCCCTTTAGCAAATTTATTGCACGAAGTCAAGTGCCTATCGACAACGACGTAAACTATATAGTCCACTGGGACACCACTCATCCTACTGACAGTCTTCAGCATCCTACGAATTGTGACATAGTCCTTTTTAAGCAAACCAGGAAAGAATAAGGGTGAACAATAAAGAAGAATAGGTAGGATGCAAGAATTTATGAACTGTAAGAGGAGGGGTTGAGTTATACCCGAGTGCCTTAACTTCTTAATGTGAAATGTCAGGCGGAATATTTTACTGGAGATCGCTGAGACATGGGAAGACCAGGAGAGATCAAAAAAGAGAATAAGTCCAAGATGCTTAATTTCTGATTTAATTCCTACATCATTGTCATCAATCTTACAACTGTCATGAGAATCGACGGCTTCTTTTAACTGTCGTTTACATCTTAAGCTGAAATTAACAGTTTGACATTCAGTTTAAGACCGTTAGACTCAGACCATTTACTGACTCCCGACAGAAAGCTATTTATTTTGGTACAATCTAGCTGGGAGTTAACAGCCATTGAAAAGTTAAATCATCAGATTAATTTTCAAGTATTCGTTTTGTAGGGATTTTGTTTGACTGGATGGAGGGTTTCATCATGAGCCAGAAGGCCCTGGGTTCGAACCCCGATAGGTGCGTACTGATGAAAAGTCCCAAACTAGGACGAAATAGCTGTCCAGTACTCCCAGCTGGTTTTCCAGTGATCCTCTAACTGATGTCAGCTCATGATGAAATCCTCCAACCAATCAAACAAAATCCCTACAAAACCAATACTTGAATATTTATTGATTTGTTTAGAATTGTATGTAGGCGAAAAGAGTTAAGTAAAACAAAATGATGGCATACGAGTTCCTTCAGGTTTGCAGATACGCCTTGCTGACTGGTGAGTGCCAACTAGCAAGAAACCTAGGTCCAAGGCTTTCCTATGGCCGATTGCCTCCAACCATGTAATACCAACAATTCACAGAGCACCGTGATGGCGAGCCACCTGGCATGGTGGCCACATTGCAAACTTGACTGATAGAATTCAGTCTACACCAAACAAAGGACTAGATACACACACACACACATTACACTAGTTACTAACTGGTGTCCAATCAAAATGATGCCATCTTGTCATACAAGCATAACTCTTATATCTTCTTCTAAATTTAATAGAGTCATTAATTAAGACGTATTTATGAAAAAGAATCCTAGTAGAATTTATCCGTGAAAGTGTTGTAAAATAACTTCAGATAAAAGTAGGCAGAAACCTATCGTAAAAGTAACATTAAACAGTGTAAATTAATTACATAGAGCATAGAGCACATAACATGGAGTTTAAATCAGTATAGCACAGAGAAATAAAGAATGTAGATGGTATAATTAGATGCATAAGTTTCTAAATTCCTTTCACGGGTCAAATCGTCAGAGTAATACATACCAACTGTCAGCTAAAAATTGGTGAGAACTGGATTAATTTTAAGGTCAATTTCATTACAAACCAACATTTACTAGAGAAATACTATAAATAAAGAAGCGATAGAGAACTCACTGAAAATAATCACAATTTATTGTCCATGGCATTAAGAAATGAGATCCTAGAGTTTTAATTATTTAATCCTCACTAGTGGCTGACTACAGAATGGAGTTGTTTGAAGTTTTAGCAGGAAGTCGTGACCAGTGAAGTTTATCAAGTTGGGTATGAGAACAAAAACTCATCGATGACTTTGGCTGGCAGTCGCGTCATATATCGCGAATTAGAAGAAATTAGAATAGGTCGATCCCTAGTGGAATCATGGATGAGTACCACTGAAGAGTTGCAAGACAAACAGCTGTTCACCTCTCCCTGGCTTTTAATGGTTCTCTAACTGGAGTCAGTTTGTGACCATATATACAACAGATACTTCATGCGTCTATGAAACAAACAATTCAACGGCTAAATATATGAACAAGTTAAAGGAACACCCATGGGATCGCCAATATCAGGTTTGATTGCGGAAGCAGTGATGCAAAGGCTAGAAAACATAATCCTACCAAAGATCAAACCCAAAATTTGGATACGTTACATAAACGACACATTCATAATAATCAAAAGTAACGAGTAAGATAAAACTCACAACTTAATAAACAACGTCCTCAACGACATCAAATTCACAAGAGAAGAGGGATACGGGAACAAAATCCCATTTTTGGATGTCTTAGTCAAGCGAACAACCACAGGGGAATTAGAAAATCAAGTTTATAGAAAATCAACTCACACAGACCAAGTGCTCAATTACAACAGCAACAATCCAATAACACACAAAAGGAGTTGTATACAAACACTATTCAAGAGGGCCAGGAGTCATTGCAGCACTCCCACCTTAAGGAAAACTGAAGAAAGATATCTCATGAACGTCTTCCAGAAGATGGATATCCACGTAATTTCCCAAGCCAACCTATCAAATCAAAGGCCCCCAAGGAAATCACAAAGAAAGCCGCCCTACCAAATATAAAGGATATCTCAGAAATCACTACAAGACCCTTCAAACCTTTAGGAATTGATTTAACACACAAACCCAAAAAATCACGCCACTCAGCTATATGTCAACTAAAAGACTCAACAGCGAAAGAAGATACAACCAAAATCACCTACAAAATAAATTGCAACGACTGCAATAAACACTACGTTGGCCGAAATGGACGTCCTCTTCATATTCGTATCCATGAGAATAAACTAGCCGTCAAAAGACATGACATCCACTCATTGATATCCCTCACTGCATACAGACAACCACGGACATCAATTCGACTGGGACAACCAACGTTCAGATATTAGACAGAGGAAACACCAACAATGCTAGAGAATTTCTATAAGTCTGGTATTCCAGTGAATCGTCAATCAATAGACACATCAAGATAGACAAAATTTACCAATCGATAACAAGGAAATGTCACACAAAAGGGGTCAAACTTCAGATCAAGGAAACAATCAGTCCCAATACAAGTAGCCTAGAGGGTGTGAAAACACACAAAAACAACCAATCACGTTCAAGGTCACCCACCAGGAGAGATGACTAATAAACTCGTGGAGAAATCTGAAAGCTCACTTCACTTCAAATTGAAGTATGCGCTGAAGATGTTGCCTAGTAGGGCAATGAAAGCTTCGCAAATAAACCATCCAGCTCAGAGAACACAACTACATGAGAATGAAACAAATAGCTCGAATTCTCCTGCTTATATACAAGACACTGTTGACATCTAGAACACTTTTTTAAAAGCAATATGAAGTTCAACAGTGACATCTTTCCAATGATTTCATTTAGTATAGTTGTGCAACGACAACTCTGTACATTTTCGTTGTTCAAGATATGGTATCTATAGGGATTCAAATTGCCAAAGAGATATCTCCGTGTATTTTTTTTAAACACTGCCAAATTATTTGAATTCCAAAACGAAGGTTTTACGAATAACTGACCTTCAGTCCTCCTAATTAGTATGGATTTTTATTTTTTATTCATATCAGCTTCCTAGTTCATTAGAGTGTAAGTATTTGACACCCAAGGTGACCTCAACATCGTAGTCGTAATACAATTTCACTTGCGTGACATTTACCATCGAACCCTTATGTATTCTAGCAGTTAACTACACTCGTATTTAGGTCACCTTTACACACCTCTACACCCAGCGATATTTTTAAAAATGAACACATTTGATGATAAAATGATGGAGGATATTTAATCTAACGTTTCTTCGAACTGTTTTTCTGGCTTTCTTCAGTTTTTACTGATTGAAAATACCCATTAAAATTTTCAAAGGGCAGTAGTAGTGGCTGGAATTGCTTCTTTTGCACACAAAGCACTAGTTTTTTTCACGCGAATTGCAATAGTCTCTGGTCTTTGAAGCAAGCGGTACTTCGATATTTTCGGCAATTTATTAGGCATCCGGTAGATGATAGGGGATTCTTCAACGCTGTATCTACTGGCAACCACTGTTGTGACTTGGAATTCGAACTTTCTTGTCACGTGATTTACTTGTATTTATTAGCTGGTATATTTAGTCTATAATAATATGTTTTTTTAAATTGCTAATTCACTTGAGTAACAGGCTTCTAGGAATTCCCTGGCATTACTTTTGGTGTTTCCTGTATTTAAAATTTCTACATTATCCCAATCAAATTGATATCCGTAATTATCCACATGCATTGATATGAAAGAATACATATCACGTCATTTTACAGCCAATTTGTGAATTAGCAATTAAACAAACACATTATTGTAGACCAAATTTATCAGCTAATAAAAAATAAATCAAATGACAAGAAAGTCAATAAAAACATAATCAATACAAAAGTGAAATAACAGCCACCAGTCACGACAGTGGTCGTCAGGAGATACCATTATATCATTCACGGAGAATTTAAATCAGTTCATTTTATTGCTAAAACCTGTGCTGAAGATGTTATCTAGACGGAGGACAAAAACTTCGCAGTTAAATCAACCAGCTCAGAGAACACAAGTAATTCAACATCTGTTTTTGATGTGACTGGTCAAATTTGAGTTACATTATTATAAGACTACTGAATCAGTAAAACCTCTGTTTAATAATCTTAAGGATAGTGATCAGCAGAGGAACCCAGGATGAACATTTCGTCCCACTTGGAACTCACCAGCTGGGTGTACGTGAATTCCCCAGTGAGTGATGATTTTCCCACTGACACTCAAACTTAATAGTCTTCGTTTCAAATACCGAACGTCATCTATTAGACCACGAGAGCCACCCTCTTTTGCAACGGGTATCAGTTATTATTTTTATAAGTCAATTTTTAATTTTCCTATTGACTGGCATGTCGACTCCTGGTACGGATGTTTCGACGATGTTTGAGGATAAACATGAAGTAATTCTGTCCAATCATTATATATATATATATATATATATCGAAATAATTAAAATCTTGCCCTTCAGATAATTTTTTTAAAAGGAACAACAATTTATAGTGTTTAGCAAGTATTTATTAGCACAAAAAATGCATAATTCTTACAAAGTTACAGTAAGAGGTAAAAACAACAAACTTGTAACTCACTGAAAACAACCCTAAACTTTTGTACATCAGCTACAAAAGCTGTAGTATCACAAATAATTAATACAATATATGTACAAGCGTTTACAATAAGGTAATATAATATCTTGGTTAATATAATCAATAGTGAGATTTTTTATGATATTTTCTCTTTGATTTATAATACTGATCATCTGGTTCTCTAAAATCTATACGGTCATAGGAATCCCGTTTTGGAGTTGGTGATCTTCTTGGCGACCTATCGGTATTGCGATTACGCGTGAGTGCATAAGCTGCAGGCGGTGATCGGTGGCGCTTCTTCCGAGACTTTATATATATGGAGGCAAAAAAAGTTAAAACATTAATTTTGTTAATAATTAATTGACAAAACATAATAACACAGAACGACAATATTAAGTTAATAACGAATAAATACTTTATAGTCAGTATGATGAACGAATTTCATGCCAATTAGAAAATAAAGTTAAATTCAATGAAAAATTCACATACTTTACTCTCAGCTTCCAGGGCTTCTTGACGACGTTTAAGATTAGCAACTACAGCATGAGCTACAGCTGCAGGGACAGAGTCAGGAGCTGGGGGAGGTGAAACACGAGAACGCTCAGTCATCTTCTTCGAGGGAATATCAGTTGTAGTAACAGGCTTTGCAGCTGTGATATTATTATTATTTTCTGAAGTTGTTTTCATGATAGAACTTGTCAGTTTCAGTTGATGTACCAACTGAGCAGCTTTTTTGCGTCTTTCTTCCCGTAAACGCTCGTCTTTTTCTGTGGGGATAGTAACTTGATAGCCATCTGCAGAGAAATCTAGCAGACTTGTAGGTTCATGTATGTCTATATTTTGTGAAATTGAAAATAAAAAACCGTTATTGAAATGTAACCTGTACAACTAGTTTACTATAGCATATGATCCAAAAAAAGAAAACAAAAATGCAAGCTGTTGGAATAGTTACAACAAAGTGAAGCTCTATGGGTTTTTTTCCAGGGACCAATGTTATAATACTGAAGGATTAACACATCAAAAAAAACAGAAACAAATATATCATTTACTACTTGGAACCAACTGTATATTTAAACATGGAATACCAACTCGTAAGTCTCTGTGTAGAGTGATAACTTGAACCGAAGTAAGTAAATCAAAAGTGATAGGCAATCCTACTAATTCACTTAACACGGGGGCAAAACCTTCCTTAAACTGTAATTTATAGGCCATACTGTTTTAAGACCAAACAAAATTAATCCAACTAGCTATTTGAAGATCTAAGAAACTACCTGATAAAATGAAAAGCTGGAATAGCTTAGGAATAATATACGATAATGAAATATTAAATTTGATAAGAAACTCGTGATCAAACAATCAAACTACACAAAAACACAAGCCGTTTCAAAAACAGAGGCAAAAGTATTTGGAAAAGAACTAAACTGTGACGAGGGAAATTTAAATAAACCAGAACTGTCAAGAGTTTGTTTATATAAGGGGATTTAGAATTGTTACAAGTTTGATCACGGAATGATATCAGTTAGAGAACCATTAAAAACCTGGTAGTACTGTACTGGACAGTCGTTTCGTCCTAGCTCGGGACTCTTCGGCAGAACGTACCGATCGGGTTTCGAAACCAGCACCTTCCGATTACAAGGCAAACTAATAGACCATCCAGTCACTGGGACCCGACTCAATGACCCATGAGCTCTAACTTCTACCAATTCGTGATTTTAGTGTGACCACCAGCCAATAATCATAGGAATTCTTGAACTGGAAACTACCTAGTAATTGTCATGTGTCTGGTCCTCTTCGTTCGGTGCAGGCTGAACTCTGTCAGTCAAGTTTGCAATGTGGCCAGCATGTTAAGTAGCCTGCCATTACAAAGCACTCTAAATTATTTTTAGATGGTTGGAGGTAATCGGCAGGAAGTCTTGAATCTGGGTTTCGTGCGTTTTGGCACTCATCAGGAAGGCATATGTATGTGCAATCTTGAAGGAACTCATCTCCTTCAGAGCGCTTAAAAGCTTAGCACTAAAATGAAGAAAAACAGGGAATACAACAAACCTTCGACGAGAAAGTACTCTGAACTCAATCTGTCAACCGACAAAAACAAAACGGAAATTAAAAAATCAAACTGGTCACTCTGCCTAACACAGGTAGAGTTTTCATGATGAGTGGGAAAAAATTGTATTGCGAAAACAGGAGAACCTTTACAAGACACAGTAGTTTTTTGAAAACTACGAAAAGATCTCATCAGGAATCTGAATAGTCTGCTATACATACACACAAGATGAAGTTGGATAGGCGGCTTCCAAAGGAGAAGTAAAGAACAAATTACGAGAACCAACTTAACCCTGTTTTATGGTCACCCCAAAACACTCAAGTTAGATATACAAATACCGACAAATATTTTATCCTCAGAAATAAACAATTATCTTTTTTTTCCCAAATATCTGTTGGAAAAATTAAAACATACGTGATCGGCAAACTAAAAAGTGCAATCGATGATTCAGGAATTTAAATATATTAAGACATTTAAAAATAAGAAATATATCAAATCGAACACTGACAAAATCATTATTAAAACTATAAACAAACATCAATTTCCGAAGTACATTAAGTTCCATAACCCCCTATTGTGTGATTGCGTTAGTGTATGGAATGCAGCTGTTGAGTTTTTCTACAAGTTATTCAGATCTACAGTCCTTAAAAGTAAAATAGGTAGGTGAAAGGACATGTTGATCATTGAATCTTTGTTCGTCAAAATTTACGCCTAACACGTGCAATACGAATAGCGCAACGCAGAAAACACAGATACGGAAAGTACTACTACTATCAACTAGATCAAAGGATGAGAATTAATAAAATTATATAGACGAAATTTGAAAGCTATGTGAATACTTTTATTATGAGCTCAAAAGCTCACCAGTTTTATCTAGTGACACATGTTCAGGTGATGAGATGAATGAAGAATGAGGTACTGGACATAATTACATTATTGGTGTTACAAAACCTTTAGGAAATATATGGGATAATGGAGAAACCAGTACTTGATACATTACAGACACGGCGATTTACGACGGACAAGTGTTTAGTTTCACACTTGATGATCAGAATCCACTGACTACCTTCTGACTTTTATATGATCTTCAGCAGTACGCACCCACCGGGGTTCGAACCCAGGACCTTCTGGTTACAAGGTGAGCTCGTATACCATTAAGCCACTGGGACCCGATCCAATGGCCTATGAATTCTAACTTCTGCCACTTCACGACATAGCGCGACCCCTAGCCAATGTCTTCGGCGAGTATTTGTCCTCACCGAGGAACTATATGCTATTAAATTAACTACTAAACGGTTTATAATTGTTGTCCAAGGTCTATATATTTGGTACATAGAAGAAGCTTATTTACAGTGAATGAATACACATAAGATGCATTAGACGGTTAGTTGTTCAGCCTTCCAATATCAGGTCAATAGAGCTTCTGTAAGCGATTCACCTTTTGTGATCCATCATCCCTCGACTATGCAGGCAGTAATAATGGTAAGTCAAAACTTTAATTAATATTCAGTCCTTCACATCTCTGGATAATATCTTATTTTAAGAATTTTCCCTCCTATAAAATTCGAAATAAACATCAAAAAAAGCGACAATGTTGACATAAAATTAACATAATTCATAGTTAAGAGTAGTCGAACTTACCTAATAAGTCGTCAAGAGCACAAGAAGGCCAATTGGAAGTTAGGTGAGCACTCGAATGAGATGCTGACTCCACTGGAGAATGTGAATTGTTCGCATATGGTGATGGGGAATTACTGGCAGACGACTTAGGAGACTGGAAGTTAGTAACTCGTTCAGATCTATCGTGTCGTTCAGATGACTGGCTTGAGTTGGCAGGTGAAGTAGATGAAGAGTTGGAGTTCAAACTTCTATGAGAATGACTTCTATCAGAATATGGACTGTCATTGTGAAGTGGAGATGACTGTGAGGAAGATGAAGAACTGGGACTGGGAATACCAGGTATCACATGAATGTTAGGTGACCGATGTTTTCTTTTCTTTGATTTGACATCATTTTCACGAATATTTGATTTTTTCAGTTGTTCTTCTCTTCGTTTTGAACTCTTTGAAACTGATTTAGAGTACTCTCGTACAGCAGATTCAATTATATCCATAGCCTTTTCAGTAGAAGTATCATCATTATTATTATGAGCAGATTGAGATTTTGCTGGGGGAATTGGACGACTAAGCCGAAAACTGATGCTTGTCTGACGTTCTGAATTTCTGCTATCGGAATCACCTTTCGTTTTCTTGTGAGAATCTGGTGAGTGGGATTTTTCTAGAAAAGGAATAACTTGATATTACTAAGTTTGAATATTCTAAGCGTGTGTATGTTAAGTGTAAATACGACAAACTTAAAATGTAGGTCGAAGCAAGATTATGTACGAAAGTTGGAAAAGGTCTGGAGATAACTGAATTAATTTATAAAACAAAATAATGATGTAAACACGAAGTCAACTGATGGATAGATGGTGACTAGCTGTGGAATCCAGAATGCGCATTTTGTCTTATTTGGGACTCGTCACCTGGATGTACCTACATTCCCCAGTCAGTGATGGTCCTTCCACCAAGGCTCAAATTTTAAATTTTCCCGCCGATTGACTGGACCGAAGTGCTCGGTCTCAAGTTGCATGACCAGACATCGTCGGAGCATCTGCACAAGGAGCTGATATGTCAAGCTGAGGCCGAGCACTTCGGTGCAATCAATCGACGGGAAAATTTAAAATTGAATTAAATAATGTAAACACGATTTCACAATCAGATAAACTCTTGAAAAAATCGTATGACGGCATCCCAAACAAAGAAATTCGAATTGTGACCTTTAGTTTCCATCACAAGTAAAACTCATCTAGCCAAGCATAACAGGAAAATTAGTACTCTTAGTAAATTATCAGAAAACGGAGTTCATCTGAAATATATATATATGATGAGTTTGTGCAATACACTTCGACCAGTCTAGTGGTCACATGTCTACTTGTCAAATTAACTTGGATGAAAGTTGAGAGATAGGAGGGATACTGCACTTGGTAATAAATTAGATAAGGATTAACTGGCTAGGTTAAGTAAAACAACAAATCCTTTCTACTTATACAATAGGGTATTAATTTTACAAACAGCCACAACCTCAGCATATTTGTACAGAAGTGCAGTACATTAAGTTGCCATACCCTATGTAGCATTCAAAGGTAGTGAAAAGAAATTCAAAGGAACTATAATACGATATATGCAAGAGAAGGAACAGCTAGATTAAACAATATGAGAGCTTAGTGGATATATAGGAGAACACAAGGAGTAAATGGATCTGCGCCATTGACAACGATTTTGATCAATATCACTAATAGCCTCCAGTCATTGATTCTTAGCATCCCGGGGACCTCAACCACGTAGTCTACATCTCTCTACATAACTCAAACCAACCATGAACAGACTTCATGGATTGATTCCTCTCAAAATGCTGTCATGTAGCCACGCATTAATAGCCTCAGCAAGGTAAATCCTATTCACTGCCTCCACGCTGCGGCGATGTTCGTCACATCAGTAAAAGGGCGAATGAGAACATCTGACGCCAACAACCCGACTGGTGGACATGCCGGTCTACCTAGGGACGCTGGAGAATACTGATTCCGAAACCTATGGTGTACCTGAGTTCGAGAATCCGAAACGATCGAATGGCGTATCAACTTGTTTTGGACAACGGCAACCAAAGGAACGCACCTCCGCTGTCTTGTGGATCAGATTTGAATGATCATGTCTCACAGTCATAGAGAAGGACAGAGTGAACTACTGCGCAGTACATGTCCTTTGATCGATAGTCGGGTATCACATCTACGCTAGAGATGACGTAATTTGTCAAATGATCAGCACAACTACTTAATGGATATTAGTTGTGACTTTTGAAAGTAATCAAATTAATCCGGATTTTCGAATTTAATAGAAATCCATCAAAGGTATATATATATATAAACACAATATATATATATATATATATATAAAGCAATACTCGGTTTTACATAAAATGAAGAAATGGCCAGTGATGTGGTAACTGTCTCGCTCTCTTAATCATCTAAGGACTATTTCATATCTATGGAACTTTGTGTTAAGTTCTAAAATTCAGTAGACACAGGCACACTTTAATATACATTTTACTGGAGAATAAACTTACTATGAGAGTTACTCTTTACTTTGGGACCATAAGGCTCTTCATTACTCGAATGCCTTTTTCTCGAACAACGTATTTTAGGTGACTTGGGTGGAGAAGGAATATCATTGAAATTATTATCAGCAGCTTTAGTCAAACTGTCATCAGGATCTAATTCTCTTCGTTTAGCCATATAATATGAATGCAAAGGATGATCTGGTTTCAAGAATGCAAATCGTGGATCTTTGGTTTTTTGACGACTGACTAGTTCTTCAAACTCTAAGCCATTACGAACAACATACTCGGCCATTTTGTTGATAATGCCACGCTGGTCATCATTCATTGGTGGTCTGCAAAAAGTGTACAAATTAAATAATAAGAAATAGATAATGTGTACAATGAATGTTTATCATGATTAAATAATTAGGTGAAGAAATAAACAGTAAAATAAGTTTACATTTACATAGTGCTATTAGAATGAGCTGTCGTCTTTTATTATTACATTACTAAAAACACATACACAGCTGAGCTCAAGATGGCCTGCTTAAGTCACTGTCTGTCTGTCTGTCTATCTGTTTTCGACATAGAACTTTGCAAATATGTGCGGCAGTTCAAGTCGCCACACTCCACTCCATGTACCACACAAAGCAAGAGAAGTAGAAGAAATGCATAATATAGACAGTAAACAGAGGTGTGAGACAAAGGAATAGTAATAACGGAGAACAAAACAGTTTCATTGGAAATCATAAGTCACAAGGAGTGGATGCATCTGCGCCAGCCATTGAGAACGATTTTGAGCCATGTCACCAATTGTTTTCAACCATTGGTTTTACCGTCCCGAGGACCCCAACCAGGAAGTCTACATCTTCCTACGTGGCTTAAGCTAACTGTTGTACATTTCATTGACTAGTGCCATGTTTTGGTTTGACCGCCGCTAGCTCTTTTCCAGCCTGGCCCTATATCAGCTAACATTGCCCATTGTCGAGGAAGGCGATGACTAGGCATACGTAACACATGTCCTAACCATCTCAATCGATGTAGCTTCACAGCCTCGTCGATTGATTTCCCCTCCTCACCTAGCACTCGACGCCTAACCTCAATATTGCTCACCTTATTATACCACTTCACACGGGAGATAGAACGCAGACACCTATGATCAAAGACAACTAATCTAATCTTAATCTTAAATCACTGACCTACTAAGGTTTTCATCCACCTAAATGTTTACGCTCCTTCACATTTCTTATTGTTTTAGTAATTGAAATTATATTAAATGATCACTCTGCATGAACTCGCGTACATAATTTAAATTAGCTTTCAACAAAATGCTGTGCAATTTCTGAAGGAAATGAAGAAAAAATATAGAGAATTGGTTGTCCGTTCATATGCAACAACACTACGTCACATGATATACTCCAGATTATTACTTTACATGTAAATGCTGTATAGAGAGGAAATATCTCTGTAATACGTGTTCACATACTGTCTGAAATAAAGCTTTATTATTATTATTGTAAAATAACAACATACAAAAATGCGTAATACATAAAAGACCATGATTCAAGTACAGGGGTTGTGTTTCTATGCAGTAAGTGTATTAGAGTTTGAATTTGTGACTCATTCATCATCTGAAACATGGAGCTTAATCTACTGAATCACAATTCCATTCATGCAAGTACTCTAGACTGAGAGGCTAAGTTTAACCTTAATCATCGAAGAAGTGTGACCGCACTAATGACCTAGGAACACCCAGTCAGCAAGTTAGTCAAACCAGACAAGTAACACAATAATCAGAAATAAAATATGCTTAATGACGTGTTATCATATTAAGCGGGATATCTGGTAAGTTTTAAGTTAGGTTTAGGAAAGAGTAAGTTAAGGTTTAAGGCTAAGGACAGGTTAGGATAAGGTTAACCTAATTAGGGTAGATATTGGGCTAGATTCGAATTAGATTAGCATTAGTTTAAGGATAGTTTTGCGTTAGGGTTAGAAGACCTGGATGAATACATGTGTAGACTGTGATTTTATTACTCTGTTCACACTTTAATGCAAAACTGAGTGGCATTTTGTCACACGTCAGTGAAAGATATCCTGTGTAACAGTTTCATGACTTTCTAATCATAATTTTCATAAATATATGCATTTTATATGTAAAAATCACCTTTTTCATGTGATTGGTACGTTTGTGTGCTGTTAATTTTTGGTGCTTAAAGTTTAACTTCACCGATTCAGATAAACAATTATTTGCAAATTACCGAGAATACAAAAATACGACAACACCAAACTTCTGTCAGTCTGAATTCGACGTTTAATATCAAACTGACAAAGACTTTTGGTGGTCTTTTCCTCATTATGTTTAAGTTCCATAAACGGTTTATGGGCAATATTTGACACTAGTTATCCAAAGATTACCCTCTAAATATGTTTCAATATCATTTCTCTAGATAAAAAATCAATGTTGATTAGAGTCGATAAACTGAATAACTGGAAAATCTCAGATGATATTAGGTTACAACGAAATGTGAATCGTTGTAATAATTACTCAGCTAACAGACAAGAAACTTACGTAAACTAGAATAAATACAAAAGAATAAAGATGTCTTCAAAAAATTGGTCTTAGTGGCACTGATGTTTTCCACTTTTGCCCCTGAATCGCTAACATATGAATGTACAACCTTATCCTTAACCATTACTTAATTCCTCCGTCAAGCCTTCTTAAAGCCTTTTCGTTGATTTTTACTTACAGAGTGACAACTCCAATTGACAAACCTTTGCTCAACAAGGAATCGGGACGAAGTGTAAAGTATTAATACTTATAGTGGCATATTATGCGGCAGTTTAAATACCTCTTAAGAAATATATCATTTATGCACTACACTACGGAGTAAATAACACTATTAATCATACGCTTGGAAAACGTTTGGGTTTGACGAAATGAAAAGACTATAGATATTTGGTTGTCTTCTAGACAATGGCTCAGATGTGAAGGGAATCATAAAGTACACAATATTGAAATTTACCAGACTTGAGTGCACCAATAGTATCACAATTCTTTATTACTATTATTATTCCCTCAGCTTCCGAGTGGAACACAGAGTTTCAGAAGCACATCTCCGTTTCGTCCCGTTCTCTGCAATTCCCTTTATAGCTGGCTCCACGACTGTCTACAAGTCTTCATCTCCTCCATGTCACCCTCAGACACCCAACTAGCCGTCTCCCATTTGGGTCTCACTCGAGCGATGGCGTGGCGCGCGACGTGACTCAACCGTATTGTCAGTGTACGTCCAAACCATCTCAACTTCCTTCTTGGTTGGCTCGTTATCAGAGTTTCTTGTTCACAATCTATTATGGCTATTGGATCTTCAGTATCGAGCAAAAGCAACCGTTGAAAGTCTGAAGCCTGTTGGAAATGCTTTTCATGAACCGCGGTGCGATTCTCTGAAATGTGTAGAAGCACTGACTTGACATCAGCGTTGAGAACTCGGATCTTGTTCCTGTAAAATATTCATTGTAAGGAGAGTGTCATTCTTGAAACACTGATACGTAGATACACCCAGATCATAAGTCATAAATACGGAAAAACAGACACACTCAGGAAAACACTACTAGTTATCAGTTGATTAATTAGTTATAATATTCCGGACGAGTAGGAAAGCCTATAGAAATTGTTTTTCTACCGACTGAAGATGTAAGAGTCACAAAATCATCTTTAATAATGTTACAGTAAATACGGTGACTGATTGACTAGTTTCAACATAGAACTGTGCACAGATGTGTACCATTTCGACTTGTCACTCTCCCACAATGTAACACACAAAGCAACAGAAGAGAGTGACAAGAGACTCAAAACAGTGAAAGATAATAAACAGAAATATGAGGCAAAAAGAATAGTAATAAATTTGTAAGAACAATATAGTTTCATTGGGTATTATAAATCACAAAGAGTGAATGAATCTAAGCCAGCCACTCAGAACGATTTCAGCCATATCAACAATTGTCTCCAGCCGTCATGGCTTCTCACCATCCCGACAAACCCAACCAGCAAGTCCACACTTCCCTGACTGACTGTCTTAAACTAAATATTGTGGACTGACTTCATTGACTGATGAAGACATGTCTTGGATTAACCACCACTAGCTCTCTCTCTCTTTCTCTCTGTTTTCCAACCTGATCAATCCTATGTCAGCTAACATTGACCGTCGAGGAAGGCGATCGATGGCTAGACATCCACGCATAACACATGTCCTAACCATCTCAATCGATGTAACTTCACAACTTCATCGATTGATTTCCCACCCACCCCTACACACACTTACCTAGCACTCGACCGAAACCTAACCTCAATATTGCTCACCCTATTATACCACTACGTGACACGGGAGATAGAACGCAGACACCTCTGATCAAAGACAGCTAGCCGGTGTTTTCACGTCTTCCACTTTCAATGGACATGTCTCACTCACAGCCAGCCATAAAGGAGGATGGTGCGAACTTCTGAGCAGTGCACATGCCCTTTGGTCGACAGCTGGATATCACGTCTACTAAGCCAGAGATGGCTGTAAGTTGGCATATGCGAAACGAACCCTCTGCATCCGCGCTGAATTTTAGCCAGCAATCAACCCGTTGGGGCTGATGCAACTTCCCAAATAAGTGAAGCGGTCAACACGCTCTACCACTTCACTCCCTATCTTTAAGCTAGGAGTCAATGTAGGAAATACAGTAGTCACCAACTATCTAACTGGTCAGTCATACGGAAAGAAAAATGGATGACAGACTTATTTCAGGCGACTTTATGCTCAAAAGTTGTTTAATCGCAATGAAGTATAATTGTATTGTTCTGAAAATTCAACTCATTAGTTCACAATTACGCAGTTAAAGCAATGAGGTACTTTCTAATGGTCATTACGATAAAAATCAATCCTCTTCCTAATGAAATTATCACAAATAAGTGTGTTGTTTACGTAACTAACTGGCTAGTTACTGAACTGGTGAAGCATCTATAAGAAAACAAACTTAAACATGGAAAAACCAATTTAAGCATATACGCGACTACATAAAATTACTTACTCAAATATCACTGGTGCACTGGTGTTTAAACGGGTTTGTTGAACAACGTTGACAGCAGCTGCAGCTGCTATAGCGGCTGCTTTAGCAGCTTCTTGGACAATACTGGCTTCATGTTCATCCTTCATTAGACCACACACAGTATACTGATTGGTATAATGCGTATAATAGTGTGCATAGTAATGTCTGTAATATTCTTGATAGATACGTTCATATTCTTCAGGAGATAAAGGATCAGTCAACTCCGGTTGAGAATTATCCATAGTAGTAGTGGCTGAAACATCATCATTATCAGCAGCAGCGGTAGCAGTTTCACAATTTACAGCAACTTCATCTTTTGTACAGGAAGACTGAGGTGAGGGTGTTTCATTTTCTGATTCTACGGTTTTCTCTTTGTTTTCGAAGCTGTCTGGAGCATTATTATTAGCTATCCCATCAGAACTAGGTGGAGGATCTGCTGTTTCGTTTAGCACTTCAGGAGTGGCCACGCGAGATTGAGCATCGGAAGTAGCACTAGCAGCAAGATTCGCTGCTGCCAACGCCGCAGCCCTAAAATAGACAGAAAATGATCATATCAAACACAGGAAAAACCTTCCATGCAATAAACATAATTCTAGTGTCATTCGAAATAGGAATAAGCACCGCTTAAATATTTCACATGACAGAACAATCAATGATTAGAAATAATTCAGTGAAAAATTACATGCTAGTAAGTTTCAAAATCCATGAATAATGATTTGAGAGGTTAATACTAAACAGCTAACGTGAACTTCCATGTACAACCTTCCCTGTTGTATTTTTAAAGTCTGAATGATTAAGTTGGCCCCCATAAACAACCTATTACGGCCTAGTGGGAGGAGGGGGGTAGACTTTGGTCTTCCTTTCGAAAAGCTCTCATGTGAGCACACGTTCATAGTCTTTGCCAGGTAAATCCTATTCACTACCTTCACGCTGTGGTTGTGTTTCTCACAAAAGTGGAAAGGCGAACCCGAACGTCTTGCGCTTACAATCCGACTGGTGAACATTCCGGTCAACTTTGGGGAGCAAGAAGATCCTGATTCCAAACCTATGGTGTACCTGGGCTCCAGAAGCCGAACCGATCGAATGGCGTATGAACCTGTTATGGTCACTGAATACGATGGAAACGCTGCCCCACTGGCTTGTGGATCAGACTTCAAGTTGAAGGCTCGATGGGGTGCCCAATAAGACAACCACATACCTCGGTCTGAGCGTCCGAATGGTATCCCAGCCCCCGAACAAACTATGAGACTTTGTTTGGTGCTTCTCTTGGTACCGATAACGTACCAATTTTGTTTTAATAAATACAATAAGTGATTAGCTTGAGTTCACAAAATAAATGGGACAAATGAATGTATTCAAAACATCTTCAAAAAGCAATACTAAGCTGTAAAAAATATTCTGAAATAAACTATCAGTCGTCCTACTTTATCGTGATATTATCGACAAATATACCGACCTAGTTAGTACCTAGCATAAGAATGAATTCGTTCAAGTTGTTAACTTCGAAGCAACACAAAGAGAGGAAACGAACAAAACTAGAATAATGTTGTTACCACAAGCAAGGAGAGTGAGGAGTGCATAAGGACACAACCGGCTTGAAGCAGCTGTCTCCTGTGCTCCACGGTCACGCAACATTAGTGCTCCTTCTGTTTCAGGTACCTCAAAAAGAAGTCAACTTCCATAGTATAAGCAGTCAGGGCGGCCTACACACTTCTAAGGGTGGAGACGCAGTGTTCATACACAGTAATTTAAACAAACGCCATTTACTAGAAGTTGAAAATAAGTCACTGTGATTAGTCCTGCTGACACAGAAAAACTTGTGATCTATACACTTTGTCAAGTGCCAAAAAAACCCACTAGAACACGACAACATAAAACAGGAATATTTGCATTTCTACCAAAAATAGGAAGATAATATTATAACAGATGGCTTACGTTTCATTAATTTTTTTGAACTTTGAAATAAGTGAAGCATAAGGAGTATTCGAAATATCAACTTTGGGTAACTTTAATTCATATTCATCTTCGTGAATCGTCTGGTCATAATGGGAAAAAACATGAGGTAAAGTTTAAATATATAATTAAAATAGTGATATATATATATATGCTCATCAGAAGAACAGTTTTTCGGAATCACAGTGACTAGGATAATGTGGTCTCAATATTACATGGCATACTGTCTCCTAATATGGATACGACAATAAATTATGAAAGCGCTGCTTAACTTGATAAATTAGGAGATCAGTTTATTCAGGAACCGACAAACAAAAACACTTCAGAAATGAGGTACCGAAATTCTCGATATTTTGCATCAGAATAACAGAAAATAACGAAGAGGTAAGTTAAGGTAGATTATGATAATAGCATTGACAAGTAAATCGCCTTTAAGGAAAATTTAACAAACCTTTTTCATCAGATGGTTCGTATTGTATAAGCCGAGTGGAACATAGGGCTTCAAACGAGAGCTTTGAAGTTTCGGTAGCAGTGGTTTCATTTTTACCGAGTGGGGTTGATAGTCTTACGCCCAATCTTCCTTTTTACCAGTTTTACTACCGGCTAGGCGGGGTAAACTATTGCGTCAGCCAGACATCGAACCCCGGACCACTTGCTTGGTTGGTCGGTGTTCTATCACTGAAACATCGACGCTTTGGTACGACTAAACCCCCAGAAAGATGGTCATCTATACATACATAGATGAAAAGTAGTTATGCTTTGAACATTATATGCTCAATACAGAGTAAACACCACAGCACCGAATAAAATTACCACTTTTCATACTGTTCCATCTCTAACGTGAGGCACAGAACGGGGGAAACTACGTTAAAAAGAAGTTAAATATTTCATCCTTTTTACCTTCAGTGACTGTCTCACAGATACTTAATAGTGAGTAGCAGGATATTACACTCGTGCCAAACCAAATAACAAGCTAAAATTTCATCAGAAATCATTTATTCTTTCTTGCCAGCCATCTGCTTAGTGTATATTTTAATTTTCAAGTGTTGGTTTGCAGTGATTTGATTGGTTACAGGTTTGATTACAAGCTGATATCAGTTAGAGAACCATTGGAAAACCAGAGAGTACTCGACATCTGTTTCATCCTAATTCAGCAGTACGCGCCCACGGGGGGTTCGAGCTCAGGGCCTTCTGGTTACAAGGCAAGCTCGTAGACCATTCAGTTACTGAGACCCGATCCAATAGTCCACGAATTTCAACTTCTGCTAATTCACCACATATATATACATATAGTGCAACCACCAGACTCTGAACTCACAGTAAATACTTATCTTCATCTCCAAAGCTTACAACAATCAAATAAAACCCACAAATCACAGGGATTGTGACTTTTACGTACGTTTAGAGTCCAGAAAGATTTGTGGTCTATCAGAATGAACACAGTTGACAAGTGATTAACGAACCTTATACCTACTTTTCGTTAACACCGTGATACATCTTTTCACTCGTATTTATACTTGTCACACGTTTCATTTCCTAGTTTGTTAACAACCTACTTTAACAATTTCTTGTGGAAATTTCTGTCCACTTTGTATACTAAAGTAAATGAGAAGTTACTTAAAGAGGCTTGTACTCTTATTTCACTCGGGATTATAATACTTCTACTTCGAATACGATATCTTCAGTTCTAAATGGGAAATAAGAATATTATTCAACTCCGTTTTATTTTGTAATTCGTTGGCTTTACATTTTCGTGTAATGAACGTTTCCAAAGCCTATAAAATCCTAAAGTTGGTAAGGACATTCACTGACTGGCAAGAACAAAACTGAAACAAGCAATGAATGACGCAGAATGGTACTTGCAAGAATGTGAATCACTAATAAGTTTAGTGTATATATAACCGAATAAACGCTTAAAATAATAGTATACTTACTTTATTTGATTCATTTGCTTCTGTAAAAAGCGTACCAGTGGGTTTATCTACAGTCTGACGAGGTTTCGGGATATAACGACCCTGTGAGACCAATCTTACAATCTCCTTGTAAAATGGATTAAGTGCATGATCATAGGTTAAGAAACCAAATAGCGGATTATTATGTTGTCTTGCTTTAAGAACGATTTCCATTTGATTTCCTTTTCGTGCAACAAAAACAGCAGTTTTTTCAATGATATGAGCTTGTTTATCAGTTTCTGGAAGTTGTAGATTTGACACAAATTGCTGCAGCTCAGGTGGACAATTATATGGTTCTTCAGTTTGTTGTTCCTTAATGTCAGGCTCACCTGAAAATTTTTGATAAAAGAAAACCGAAATATCTTGAGACAGCTGTGTATCTGTCTAGTCAACGATATATGTAGTAGTATCTTACCTTTGTTAGACTAATAAGTACACCATAAAACAAGTCATTACGTCTAAGTACGATGTACGCGTTGAACAATGATCTCTTAGCGACATCTCTATACGGGTGTGCCATAACTGTTCAAGCATTACAACCGAACAAACTGATTGATAGGTTAACAAATCAACGTACAAACTAACACAAGTGCATGAGTTCAGTTTTTCATATCTTAAAAGTGTACAAAGCGGTGAGCAACAGAAGTGGAATCATGCTGATACAAAAGTAATTGCGCGAAACGCTTTAATCAAACCCAAAGTATTAATACAGAGGATTACGATGACACAGCAAAAACAGCTATGCCACCACAGACAATTTAAAGTCATATTATCAAGTCTTTACCAAAAGATACTAAATACACTGGAGACTTTATATAAGTAGCCTAAATCTCCCCCACACGATCTAGATCAATAATCAGAAACTTTTTGTGATACTACAGCTTGATGTGATTACCCTTAAAGCTTTTCCAAACAGAATTCTGGAATGATCTGTTGTGAACAGTGAATCCCAACCTAAGCTACGGTTATCGGCAGCCAGCAGTAAGGTTTTCCTCTCTGAGTAAATCTCACAAATTTCTTCACCCTCAAACATACCACTGGACTTTAAGGCCCTCTTTGCCCACCACTCTACGCCTAACGTCAACATTACTTACCTTATTATGCCACCTAACGTGAGAAAGAGATCGTAAACATCTATGATCAAAACCAGTCAACCTTTTCATGTCTTCAACTCGTATTGGCCATGTTTCAGAGCCATAGAGAAGGACGAAGCAAACTGCTGAGCAGTACACACGTCCCTTGGTTGATAGCCGGATGTCACGCCTACGCCAGAGATGGTGTAAGTGTAAGCGAAAGCAGCTCTAGCTTTTTGGATCCGTGCTGAGATTTCGTCACCAATCAATCCGTTTGTGCTGATACAACTTCCCAAATAGGTGAAGTTGTCAACATGTTCTATCACTTCACTCCCTATCACTAAGCTAGGAGTTGACGTAGTCCAGTCCTGTAGCAGCATCTTACATTTTGCAGGGGCGAATCGCATGCCAAACATACGAAGATTGCTGCTCAAGGTGTTCAGAAGACTCTACATTTTGTCAGTATCCTCCCCTTAAAGGACTATGTCATCTGCATATTCTAAGTCCATAAGACTATTCCCTGGTAACAAGTCGATTCCTAAGTCGTTAAGTTCAGTTAAGGATACTTCCATTAGCATATCTATGATGAAGTTAAACAGGAATGGGGAAAGTGGACATCCTTGACGGACACCACTGGTTGTTATCAATTCAGATGAAAATTCCCCATAAGCCCTTACACGCCTACGTGAGTTTGAGTAGAGTGCCTTGATTAGTGCAATGTACTTTCTTGGCACTCCCTTCACAGTCAAACATTCCCATAGTACTTCTCGATCCACGGAGTCGAAGGCCGCCTTCAAGTCAAGAGACATGGCAATTGTTGGACGCCTAAAAGTGTGTCTATGTTTTAGGATCTGTCGGAGAGTGAAGATATGATCTATGCACCCTCTACCTGGCCTAAAGCCCGCTTGATTTTCCCTCGTTTGTTCCTCCCGAGTTCGGCTTAGTCTGTTCATGATTACTGAGCCTAGGATTTTAGAGACTATGTTCGTCAGGCTGATTCCTCTATGATTATCATATGAGGACTTGTCTCCCTTCTTGAATATTGGTATAATAAGTGACTTACCCCAATCTGATGGAACCGTCTCTGATTCCCAGACGCTACCTAGTACTTTAGTTAAACTATATACTAGTATGTCACCCCCATATTTAAACACCGGAATAATTCCGTCGGGTCCTGCCGCTTTGCCTCGTTTCAGATTACAGATAGCTTTTGTGACCTCACTTACAGACGGCGGGGGGCCAGTGTATATATCCCATTCGGGTGTGTGCTGGATGGCGGGAAGGCTTACTGTGGCTGTAGGCAAGTTGAATTGTTCCTCAAAGTGTTCTTTCCAGCGTTCAAGGCGTTTATCCTGAGAGCTAATTAAGGAGCCATTTTTCTCACAAATAGTCTCACTTATGATTTGCCTTCTCCCACCCGTTTCCCTGATGAGTCTAAAGAGTTGTCTAGTATTGCCTATCGCCGATGCTTTTTCCACCTCTTTCGCCTTTGTCACCCACCACTGTTCACAGTCCTTGCGGAGACTTTTCGTAAGTTTCCTTTTGTGCAGCTTTTCTTGCAATGGTGCCACAGATAAAGGCAGCATTTTAAGTGAAATCTATTATGGGGAAGTTAAAGATCATGAGGATACTTAGAAGACACTCTTTATAAAGCACATTACCTGTAAACTCTCACTGGGTAAGTGATGCAATGTGATGCTATTTTAATATCATTACTAGCTGACTAACGAGTCATTGTAGGACTTCGTGTTAAATTATATTAGTCTAGGTTGTCACACTTAGAAGAAGCACAAAAGGAAACAGAGATGACGTGAAACTACAATAGACAAACGTGGGTACAACGAAGAGAATAAATATATGGAGATTGTGGAAGCTTTTCAGGATCTGCAAGATGACACGATGCATCAACGCTACTGTAAACAGTTTCTAGCTGTCACTATGTTAACGTCAATTTTAATATATTCGAAATGGAAGTCTTCGTACTGAAAACTACTTGCAAACTAAATAGACACAACTAATTAAATGGAACATATTTTATTTGAAAATACGCGACCATTTCTAAGTAAAATCTCATTTTTACCTGACTCTTTACTAGGGCTGGATCCATTACCATTTGACCCGGGAATATTTTCATCGTAAGAAAAACCAACAGCTCCATAATGATTACGATACTTTTCTGATTCACGTTTTTGAGCCTCTTCTGTATAATAAAAAATGAAATGAATGATGTATATATGTTTGAGGATAAAAACAGAAGTACAATAGTTTGTTTGTTTTTAAAAAAAATGACTAATGTTTAATTACATTGAATGTATGCTTATTCCCATAGCCTCACCAGGCTCGTATTGCATGTTGCATTCCGAAAAAACCTGCAATGTATAAACAGATGTAAAAGTTGTTAATCTCTGCAGCATAAAATATATACAATTGGCACACATAGTAATACAAACAAAAATTCATACCAGGTTAATCTAGTAACAGTCATAAGTATCCAAAATATGCTTTATTCAGTTCACAGATAAAACTTACCAAATAGAACGAAATTCTCATCAACGCGTTTACCAAACGGACATCGACTCAAAAGCTAAGGTCACATTAACAATCGGCAAAGATGGTAAGTGCAGAACATATTAAAACACAATTGTTAAAAGAAACTCACCAGCTTCAATTGCGAGTTCATGGACGTCGACCTGCATCTCCAAATAACGCTCAAAATCGCACATTTTTTCGATTGCTATCTCATCTTCAGATAAATAATCTTCATATTTTAGATCAAAAGCGGGATCCTGCTCGCAGACCTCAGTGAGATATCCACGCCCATCAAATCTAACAGCAAACAAAACAGGAGTTTTAAAAACATTTATTTCCCGATACGAATTTAAAACAAGCAACAAAAGTTAATAAAGCAGGATTTAATGAATTCATCAAATTTCGGTAGAACTCGTCAGCTGGATACTCTACATACACGTATATACATACTTTTGAAATTACATTGGGAGATATAAGACTGATAAGCAAATAAACTACATTGAATTAGTCATGCAGAAAGACAGGTGCAAATGTCCAGAAAACAGGAGTTTACTAAATAATTTAAGGTACAAACAAAATTCAGTAACGTAATGAAGTAATTTCTATCTTAAGGTAGTGGTCAAGTATGTATGCTGAAACTACCTAATGAGTAATGCTGGCTGGAACGAACGTTACTGCAGCTCCTACAATGCCAGAAAAGTTGGTTGAGTAGCGAAGTTGTCGCCACTGCTTACACTATGGTGGGGGTATGATGACTTGGTTGGATGTGGCAGAAACGAGGTGTTTACAATAGGCAGCTAATGAGCTGTCTATGCCACCTCGCTTTTGGGAGGACTGAGTCAGAAAGGGTGAGTATATTCATGAATATATATATGTATATATGCGGGTGACTCATTAAACGTAAGATGTAAATTTCCTTACTTGTCCAGTAACGTTTAACCTAATGAAGTCTGCTGTAAAAACAACAGCGAGAACAATGGGCAGTCTACAGTCAACAGTTAGTAAATATCAGTGGATTTCGGTAACTTCATCCAAATCTTTTGTTGCGAAAACTTTCTTGGAAGACGGAGTAAGCACACTGGAATTTTCTGTAAAATCCGCAGACAATGGTGCATGACAAAACAGGTGTTAAATAGCACCAGCAATATGCAACACATAGACTACTTAGGATTATTAAGGAAACGCTTCAGAAAGCCACAAGCGAAAGTTTGTAAAAAGGGTGAATCTCTAATAACTTGACAACGAAGACTGTGAAAATTATGGGCAAAACACTTCAGAGAACAGTCCAACCGGCCTCTACCTACACTACATTTCCCTACCGACCAACTTCAAAATGAACAGAATGCAAACATCGGTCTTCCAAATGCAGCTGACGTTGTCAGAGCTATCTCCAATCTTAAACCAGTAGGACCTATTAGTTTTACTTTTAAGAATGAAAATGGCTGAATGTCGACCAGACTAAATGAGGTACTAATTAATGTATAAGAGTTGATAACTTCGGTTACGCCAGCTTGTAAGCAGTAAAAAGGTTGTAGCTTTCTAATTTGTGCGCTGTTTTAAGAATAACAGCCTGAACTGATGAGCCTTACTTACAGCTTCTACTTGACAGCCTACATCGAAAAATATTGAGGACATATAACATGAGACATCTACGTCACCAAATTACTGAAACCAATGCTATAAGACAGTGGACCTTACATTAGCCAGCTTTACTTAATGAATTCGAAAATACATTTAAAGATATTCTGTTCTTAAAACATAGTCCTCCAGAGACTAACTTCATTAATTAGCTGTAGGTCTACAAAGATTAAACATAGGCTTTAGGAAAAAGAAACTGGTTAGAAGATACTTGTAAGAAGCCAACCCAGGGTACACAAAATAACATTACAGACTAACAGCAAAGTAATATTTCCACGGATTTTAGATTACTTGGGTAAACGTCATTCCCAGAACATGGTTTTTACAAGGAAACATCAGCATAAAAGACACCCCGAGAGAGTTTTAAGTGTCATTGAGATACGTCTCAAGCATTTACAGAGATGCATACATGAAACGTGCTTTTCATACTCGAAGCAGAGTATAATCAAAATGTGGTAACAATTTTGGTAGTTCACAGTATCAGCATAGTGCATGGCTGAGCTGAAGGATAGAGCTGACCCATCAAGCACTTGCTCCAATCACTTCCATCGGTTTCCCTCTACAACCGGAACATACTGCAGAGAACGTTTAGAAAGAAAAATATACATGCATACATATGTATATATAAATGTCGAATTATGTCTTTGGGCTGATACTTGACATGGATAACTATCACCTAACTCTTAGCATAAATTTTCTGTCAATGATAATTTTTCAGTTATACTTTCCCATCTCACCCACCTAAATGCCTAAAGAAACATTAAAGGCCTTAACTAATTGTCATTATTTAAAAAGTGTCTGAAGTGCAGTATTAGGTTGCGGGTGGGATAATATAGGTATCTCAGTCGATATTGTCACGCAAAATTATAATACCATTCACCATTATTTTGTAGGCTTTTCAAATGTTCCCATAATAATGCCATTGCCGTATGCAACTTAAGTTGCATACACACAACCAGATCAAGAGACTTTATTTGGGTTATAAGAGTGAAAAACTTGGAACCTCCCTGAAGTCACAAATACCTTCAGAAAAGCAATATCCTAAACAGAATACAATCAATCCATTTATACAAAGTGCATGACAGCAACTAAAGCTAACCTATCTATTAAAATTGATTCATCTCCCCACCAAGGTATGAGAAGTTTGCCAGTCTCAACTTCGAAAGCCTTTTCCTTGTCATCAAACAATGTACAGCTCTTCCCTTCCAAAACGAACTGCTTGTCATCACCGTACGATTTCTTCATAACGTATAGCCTGTTGACGTATTTCCTTTAGCCCGCCAGTGAGATAAACAACTGACAGTTTTGATGGTGATTAGTCAGATGGTCAATAGAGTTGTGATAATTTCAAACACCATTTTGCTGTTTGGTGAAGTTCGAATTTCTAATGATTATTTTATTCGGCCATTTGTGTAACTGGCAACATACACTATGATGACTCTAAACTATAGTAGCTCAAAACGAAATAACTTAATGAAAGATTAACGACCTTGACCAAGCGATGAGGCATTTCCTTAGTGGGTAGAAGAAATTATGAGTTCTCTGCATGAACCACGTAGCGAATTTCATCCATATCTAGTGTTCAGGTACTACTGAGACAACAGGCTCATTGGAAGGGAGTAAACATGTAGCCAACTGTTATCCCTAGGGTTTATTCACAAAGTGGTCAAGCATGCACAATCGGACAAACGTTAGAACAAAGAGGCAACATTTCTGGGAACTGGTTGACAAAAAGGGAGAATTTTAGTGAAGAAGGGAGTAGCAGTACTTCATAACGCTGCGTTCCCCTTTTTTTTGTCCGATTGGGTCCTGATTATTTCTTTAGCCTTTTCGTTGGGACTCAGATTCCATCGAAGAGTCGCCCAAATAAGAGGACCACAGAGATGGATGGGCCAAGAAACGTGATGATTTACAATTATCTCGACGAATTTTTGTACCGGAATTCCTTCAACTTAACTAAGAAGACTCCTACGGGAAATTCAGAAGTTTTCTTGGAACATATACAAGGACGTTATCCTTAATAACTCCATCTTAACATTGCATTACATTTTATATAAACGTTTTTCTTAAATTACACACCTCAACTTCGGAAGCATCTGATTGGTAGACGGAGATTTGACAAGGACTTTTTATTAGGCAGTTTCGTTTTGGGCTGCCGTAGTTTCAGGTCACCCATACTGTTACAGCATGGGAAAGAAATGATATTTCGATGGATTTGTCCTCCAAATTCAATAGATTTGTTGGAAAGAGGTGTCAAGAATGCAACAAAACTTCAGAAGAGGTGATAACTTTATGCAGCTTCAGTTATCGGTTGACCGTTATCTTCAGCGAACTTTAAATTGGTACAAAATACTCAGCTGCCTTCATCTTGTCTTCACTGAAGCCAGTTAGGGGGCCGAGCCCACTCAACAGTGCCCAGTAGGCATAGACAAACTTGGTGTGGATGCCACTTGAAGTTATCCAGTCACCTTTGACATCTACGAAAATACAAGATTCGGGAACAGAAAGAGTTTAGACTAATTCTCCTGATAATTCCGCCGTCGAGACCAAACTATAGCATCCCCAGTGAATGATGAATAACACGATCTTGGACAACAAATGAGGCAGACATCATTATACAACTGTCAGCATGGTCTTGTTTCAGTAATGTTTCGATAATAGGTGTTTATGAAAGGTCAAACATTCAACGTCTTGTGAAAGCCAGAATAATTAATCACACTAGCTAATGGAAGGGTTTAAGATGGTTATCCTAATTGGATTATCATAATAACATCGTATATCATTCTTCTGGTTGTGTTGATCCGCTGGGTTGCATACACACCATTTACTTAGAATGACACCGCAACCACTTTATTTGGACTGTAAATTCGTCATGAAATGGCACGAGATAAGGTCGTCTCGATGAATTCACGTACAGAAATCGGTTTGGGTTAACACTGACACCCACAGTTGATTTGGCTCTGTTGAATGTGTAGGGGATCAAAGAAATTTGTGTCTTTATTTAAGCTCCAGTCATTTCGTCTTCAGCAATAGATCTGTCCATCTTTGCTGGCAAAGATGAAAGAAGGCGATGCATACAGCAGGATTTTCAAGGTAGAAGAGAGTGATCGGTACGTTTTACTGTGAATGCTTTCGCTCCTAACACCTACAAGCCTGCTCAGTTTCTTGTCAAGATGCTATCCCATGGGCCATACACAAGTTCGCCAAACATCCTACAGGTCACCATATTCAACAGGTTCTAATCCTTCTAGCCACTTCTCTCTGACATGTCACTTATATACTTCACGATAATCCTTCTACCTAATTACTATTATACTCTATTTTATCTCAACTTCCTAGGACTTTAACAAAGCTGAAATTTATTTTTTTAATTTTTTCCTTTTTCTCAATTACACCCTTTTCTCGCGTAAAGTTTGGTTGCTCTGATGATAGGAAAAAAACATAACAACACTCATGTTTGAGAATAACTTTATTTTCATGGAAAACGTCATAGTTTTCCATGGTAAGACCAATATGGTTAGCATCATACATTGCAAATGTGCACTATCATATTAAGTAGTGTATAACTTATTCTTGTATTTTTCTTGTAAATATACTTCCAATAATGTATTATTCATGATTGCATTTTATACCCATTTATAGCTGTGCAGGATTTTCTCCTCTTCCTGAAATAGCGTTCAAGCACGTGGACTCACAGTACTTACTCACATATAAGTTGTTGATCGAAGGGTCATTACTATCATCAGGAAATGGAACGAAGTATGGGCTGTCGCTCAACTTCGATGGAGACCTTCTTGAAGGATTTACAAATTAACAATTATAAGAATCTGTTCCGATTGCGTGTAGTGTAATTTAACAATTTGAACTTTTTTAAAAAGAGTGATAAAGTATGCTAATTCACAATTGTAATTCGTAGCATAATTGATCGTGCCTGTAAAAATGGCATGCATTTCATGTAAACTTACCCGTTTATACGAAATATATATATAAACAATTGTTATTTCCATTTAAAGAAAATGACAGAACGGGCTCAAAGCCATTCATTATCATAATCAGCTGGCTGTGTTGCTAAATAGTGCCACTGCTAGTTTCACAGCTGTTTTTCCTCCAGACACTTCTCCGGATCTGTCAAAAATGCCATCAAGCGAGGCATGAAGAGAGGTAAATCAAAATCGTATTAGAGAAGTTAACCAATTCGACAGGGAATAAAATAAGAAAAGGATGTTACTATAGCTGAAATATTCACAGTAAGAAGGGAAGAATCATGAAGAAAAGGAATAAATAGGAAATGGAGACAACGAAAGCGTCAAATGGATGATTGTAGCGCCCATATGGCCCTTGAAGCTGGACTATTCTTCCAGTGGTTTTGCGTACACCGTTCATTTTCTCAGTCACCTACTACTGACTTGCGGAAAGGTGGTCGACGGTATGTGTGCACAAAGCTATCTTAAGTTGCTTGTTGTTTTGTAGCCCGTTATAAAGTGTTTCTGAATTCTACAGCAGATGGGTGTCTACTTGTATGTTCTCCTGATTTCACTGTTATACAGCAGGTATTTCAGCTATACTATGACTTTAGTTGCTCACCAGATGTTCTGTTTGAGATAGGAGTCTTGTACAGACATATTGGTAGTGCAATGTTACCGAATTCAGAGTTGAGCCTCACTCATGTTTTGCAGAGTTTTATGGAAAACCAGGATGCAATGGCTATCTGTCCACGAAACGAACAGCTATGGTTGCCTTATTTACGTCTCCTGAGTGGTCGGTGCATACGCTGGGATTTCCAATAAATCTGCCCATTCTCCGCATGTGAGCTCCGAGCATTCATGTAACGTCTGTAGGTCATCTTTTAAGTGAGCATTATTTGTCACTGTTTTTGGTTTATTCTTGATCTTGATGCTTCACTTTACAGTCGTGTGACACTGGGTAGTTTACAACATTGCTGTTTTATTATGGTCCGTAGTCCATTTGTGCGAACTCAAGCTTCCGCGTAGAGTGGTAGCTCTCCTTTGTAAAAAGTGTCGAAAAAGTGTACTGTTATACTTGACTTTTGCAGACAGAAGTCTGAGCCCCTCATGTTGAGAACATTTCATTTTGATTACCAGGTATTTGACTGTTCCGTTTTGCGAATTAATTTTGTTAAATACTGTGTATTTCGTAATGTACAAGCCGCTGGAATTTAAAGCTGCCTGATGTCACTGTTGAAGTATCTATATAGTTTTGAAAGAACAGTATTTTATGGTATGTGGTCGGAAGGTAATCTTTGGTTATACGTGACTGATGAAAGTCTGGAAAACTCTCAATAACGCAGTAAATTTTGTGGATCGTATTGACCTGATCAAGATAACTCGCCTTTCGATTTCATGCCTAAACACTTGGGTCCTGCACTAACGACCTGAACTCGAGTACTGTCATTGAGGCTATGGCCAGGTAGTTACCTTCTAGTTTACATATGTAGAGGGAAGACTTGGAGCCAGAATTCGATGACATTTTGACGTTCGTAAAAGTGTTAATCAAACAGTGGGCAAGTCGGTCAGTATACTGTATCCCACTCCTGATAGTGAGACGTCAGGGAGGCAAAATCATTTGTGATGAAGGGTTCGCAAGGCGGTGGATGTTCATAAAAGTGGCTGGTGGTAATATACACTGACGTAAATAGTGTGGTGGCGTCCTCGGAATGTCTTCGTCAGAAAGATTAAAAGTTGTCACATGGAAACAATTATGTTTCAGGTGTTTGAAATATGGAGTTCAAGTCGGAGTGTAGTAGAACTACTCGTAATCATTCAAATTCTTTAAAATTCGCCGGGCTTTCATTTGAGGATGCTGAATACCATTCTTTACGAGCAGTTCACATGATCTGAGATCAAGACACAACTAGTTTTAAAACAGTTTTCCACACCTTAATCAATCTACGTGTACAGAATACAATTTAGCCACAAATGGCAGTAATGGTCAACTTTAGAGAGCTGTCATCTATTCGATTAGGGAAATAATTCCACATGGCTATATCCGATGTTGGTCTGCATGAAATACACTTCACTCCTGATGCTACCATACGATGACACTGCTGAGAGAGTGATACAAATATACTACTCATTTCACAGTAGCACACCTTATGAATACAAATTAGGAATAAGATGTGATGCTGCACACAGCAAACTTATAGAGAAGAAATGACTTCAGACTTTATTTTCGCCCAGGTATTTGTGATCCACCCATCGTATAATTGGGCTTTCTTGTTGACACGAAGGCAGTATTTCTTAATGTGCCACATTAACCCAATAGTTGGCAGAATGA